CTTCGTATGTCTGCGGAGGAAATTGCGTCCTGCGCGGACACCGAAGGCGGGCCGCGCTCCCACGTCCCTCTGCTGATCACGCTGAATCGCGAGGTCTACTCTGCGAACACGCACGATGCTCTCGTTGCCCCGAAGGCATGGCTGCGGATGCGCACTGTGGCGGTGTGGTGTGACATGAGCATCTGCGACTGTGTACTTGCCGCGGCTCATCTGACAGAGATGCTTAAGATGTGGCCCTCGACGGGGAGGAAAGTGGAGGTGCGGAGGATGGAGGGCACGAACCACTTCGTGAGTAGAATGCTGTTGCCGTAGCATTTGATCCTAATGGTGTTGCTCCAGGCGCATTGGGAAAGTCCGGAGAGTACAGTGCAATATTTTGCCAGTATCGTATAGAATGGCAACATGATCGCGGGGCTCGCAGGCCAGTAGAACATAATAATGTGTCTTCCGCTATCCTTTCAGTGTTTGCTATGCTGTGTTAAATAAATGTGACTTCGAACCGCTGTTATTTCTCGGATCATTTATCTTGTATGTTCACACTATTAAAACTCGGATAAGTACACCAGGCCCGATCGGCGATGGCGTTGCTTGGACGTGTTGTGTTCAGAAGCCTCCTCACACGGACAGGCTATTACAATAGCTGTGCTGCTGTATACTCCACTGACATCGAATCAAACAAGGTGAGACGCTCTATCGCGGCTTCTACTGACAATATACAGGACACATTTCCTCAACACGTACGGTGATTATGTGCGCTGAATACAGTCACTGAGTCAGTCTTCCGTCTCAGAAGCGGCGTCGACTCATCTCAGCTCAACTCAAGTTCGTGTTCATCTTCAGCATGTATCGGCACCTCACTTGCATCTCTTCTGGAGGTACGGTTTGTTTAGGCAACGTGCGAGGATCATGAAATGCAAGAGTTGGCACAACGGAATGTCGCCGGGAAACCACAATTATAACATACTGACACATCAATAGCAGCGCCTTTAATTTTTCATGTGGCGCTCGATGGCTTACCTCGCCAATGATCTCCGAGTCGGTGATGACCACGCCTCATACTACTTACTCGACTCCTCGCACTGAGTCATTATGTGAGAAGCTGGCATGCCTTCTACAGGAGCGACATCAACCGACTACTTGGTGTCCTCCAGAAGACGGCTAATCCTCATTTGATAGGTTCTAAATTTGAGCGGGGCACATGTCAAGGATTGTTCGCAAACTCCATGCAGCTAGTGGGAATGTCGCGACTTCGAGGGCCCCGGTTGCTCAACCTGCAGTTGTAATAATAGGTCAGCATCAATGGATCCTTCCAAATATAATGTTTCTTACGGTCTGTAGATCAAACGCATACCACTTGCGACACTGAAAACCTTTATTCCATGCTAGCCTTGAGTGTTGTCAGTTTCATCACACCGACAATCAAAAACCTCAGGCTCTGTCACGACTTCTGCTATCTGCTAATGACATAACTTAAATGTATGCTTCTACACGTCAACAAAGAGGGGTTGTCGTGCTTAAAATGGTTATTTTTCCGGAGGAACTTTAACAGCGGGGCGCAGGTATGTGAAGAGTACATAAGGACCGCATTTGTTCTTCGTCATGGGCATACCATGCCTCTTGCTTCAGTCAACGATCAAGGTGCTCAGTTCTTCTTCGAGGATACTGGTGCCCCTCCGGAATCTCCATGCTATCCTACTCTCATGGCACAGTCTTCCACAGTGGTGCGTCTGGCTATTTCATTCCACTATTTGTATGGCCCCTCATAGTCGTGCTCCTGCTCCAGGTATCTTCTCTCGCATGCTCCCTTTTGTAGCGGCGCATAACTTCCGTCTGGTCACCGTGAACACGTGTGACTATCCCAAATCCACGCCATACTCTGCCACGGAACTCGCGGTCATTCAAAGCGGGGACTTCACATCTCGAAGTGCCTTCATCGCAGCTCGAGGAGTGGAGATTGCCACATTCCTGGAATAGTTTATTAAGGAGCACGACATCCCGCCGCTGTCAGTCGCCGCTGGTCTGGGTGGCACCGGTGATGTTGTCACTGGGGGTGTGTCGGTATCAGGGTGGTCGTATGGGAATGCATTCATTCTTTCGTTCCTCACGCACGCGGACAAGCTCTCAGAGCAAACACGGGTTTTCCTCGATTCCTACCTCCGGACCTTCATCATATATGGTATGTCGAGAGCTATCATTACGTTTAGAGACATAGCTGAGCTACCTCTGCTATGTAGATCCACCGGGTTACGTGTACGGCGTTCCCTACCCTCCGTTGGACGAATTGTACTCCCCGATACGTGACTCCTCTCTGACACCCGAGCAAGTATCCGAACAGTTCGCGATCGCGTTATCATCGTACTATGCGTACTCGCCACGCATTCTCTCCCATCTCAGTTCTTTCAACAATATAGAAGAGATACTCGAGATGGCCAAGAGCCGAAATCCTATTGTCAATCCACCCCCGCATCAATCGCCAACGCTACTTCGCATGTCTGCGGAGGAAATGGCATCCTGTGCTGATAACGAAGGAGGGCCGCGCTCCCACGTCTCTCTGCTGCTTGCGATAAATCGCGAGGTCTATTCTGCGAACATGCACGACACTCTTATTGTACCGAAGGCTTGGCCACGGATGCGAATTGTGGCGGTGTGGTGTGACATGGGTGTTTGTGACGCCATGTTTGCTGCGGCTCATCTGACAGAGATGCTTAAGACGTGGCCCTCGACTGGAAGGAAAGTGGAGGTGCGGAGGATGGAGGGTGCGAACCACTTCGTGAGTGTAATCATACTCCCTCTGTGGTCGTTGATCCTGATGGTGTCGTTCCAGCCGCATTGGGATAATCCAGAGAGCACAGCCAAGTACTTTGCTAGCATCATCTAGTACAGCCCCATTGTAAGTCTCACAGCAGTAGCAAAGAATAGTATGTCCTAGAAGGACGTGTCTTCTTCTATTTTGGTTCTCGGATGTGGCAGAGCATAATTCGCACGTTGAACTCAGACATCGTCCGAGTCGGTGATGCTGGTTAGCACGGGAGGCGGAGGTGTCTATTAGGGCGTTGAACATGTTGTAATCATTCGATAATACATTGTTACTATTGTTTCGAATGTTTAAGCCGGTGACAGTCTTCCGGATACCCATCCTCAGCCAATCAGATCGCGAAAATAAGCCTGTTTTGGGAAATATACCGAGCCTAAACATTCGAAAAAATAGTAACAATGTTTTATCAAGTATTTGCGTGATGTTCGGGGCTCTAACAGGGCCCCCCGCCTCCCGTGTAGGGTGTTGATCGTACGTTGCACGTTCAGAAGCTTGTCTTGCAAATTAGCTTTGTAATATTCCCCTCGGTCTCACTGGCACACAGACCGGCAGGCTAATGCTACAGCTGTGCTATCTAGTCTGAGAGTCTCTGTCAGAGCAGCACAGACGCGCTTCCTCAACGAACACGGTGAATTTCCGAGTACTATTAGTCTTCGGACGTGTACTAAGGCCTTCTACAGCTTCCGGTAGCAAGACGAGGGACATCAGATCCGTGACTTGAGTTTCCTCAGCACTATACGATGCCTCTTGCCCCAGTTAATGATGAAGGTGCTCAGCTCTTCTTCGAGGATACTGGTGCCCCTCCAAATTCTTCAACATATCCCACTCTCGTTCTGGTCCATGGCACAGTCTTTTATAGCGGTAGGTCTAGTTTTTTTTAATCCACCGTTCGTTTGGCCCGTCCATAATGGTAGTGCTCCCGCGCCAGGTATCTTCTCTCGCATGCTCCCTTTTGTAGCGGCGCATAAATTTCGTCTGGTCACTGTAAACCTGCGTGACTATCCCAAATCCACGCCATTCTCCGCCACGGACCTTGCTGTCATTCAAAGCGGGGACTTCACATCTCAAAGTGCCCTCATCGCAGCACGTGGAGTAGAGATTGCCACATTCCTGGAATGGTTCATCAAAGAACACAACATCCCGCCGCTGTCAGTCGCCGCTAGTCCGGATGGCACTGGTGACATTGTCACCGGAGGTGTGTCGGTATCAGGGTGGTCGTATGGGAATGCGATCATTCTTTCGTTCCTCGCACACGCGGACATGCTCTCAGAGCAAACACGGGTTTTTCTTGAGTCCTACCTCCGGACCTACATCATGTACGGTGCGTATAGAATGGTTTAGTATACACGTGGACAATCACTAGTAGCTGAACCGTTTTCACACGTAGATGCAACGTGCTACGCATTCGGTATTGCATACCCGTTGCGTGATCCCTCTGTAGGCACACTCAAGCATGCATCCGATGAAGTCGGAATAGCGCTATCCTCGTACTACGCGTACTCGCCGCGCATTCTCTCCAACCTCGACTCCTTCAGCACCACAGAAGAGCTCCTCGTCGAGATGGCCAAGAGCCAAAACCCTATCGTTGATCAGCCCCCGCACCAGTTGCCAACGCTACTTCGCATGTCTGCGGAGGAAATTGCGTCCTGCGTTGACAAGGAAGGAGCGCCGCGCTCGCACATGCCTCTGCTGACCACGATAAACAGCGAGGTCTACGCTGCAAATATGCATGATGCTCTCATCGTCCCGAAGGCATGGCTGCAGATGCGTACCGTGGCGGTGTGGTGCGACATGAGTGTCTGCGACACCGTTTTTGCTGCGGCTCAGCTAACAACAATGCTCAAGACATGGCCCTCGACGGGAAGGAAAGTGGAGGTGCGGAGGATGAAGGGTGCAAACCACTTCGTAAGTGCAACATCATTGTTGTGCCCTTCGATCCTGACGGGTGTCGCTCCAGCCGCATTGGGATAGTCCTGAGAGCACAGTGGAATATTTCGCCAGTGTTATCTAGTTTAGTAACTTTGCCATTACGTGTAGCATTCAAGTTCCTGTGTCTGTAACAATTTTTGGCGAGTACTAGTACTGTTGGTAATGAATACGCCTGAATACGCTGAGATTGTATGAATATGCGGAGCTCTCGCATGGAAAGCAATGATATAAATGGAAGCAGAAGCAGAATCCATTAGTCACTTTGCCGGAGTGGTTAACGGGATCGCCTGCTACTAGCTGATAGCGGTTGTGCTTTGCACGCGTGTGTTCGAATCGCACAGGTGACGCTTTTTTGTCCATGTCGAGCCCCGTTGTTGCAGACGGACAACTCATTTCCTCAGACTTCACGTGGTTGTCTCGTCCGTCCATACTTTGCTGTGCTACACGATGAGCGTGAACAAGTACGCGAACCTTCCTGACATTGTGATTCATGCTTTCTTTGTCCTTCTCCTGCGACTCATGCTCATTGGACGCGTATGTGGCGTAGGACACTGCACCGGACGTCTATGAGACCGAGGATGCAGTCCCCTCAGCTCACGATAACGTATGTCTCTGATATACTTCCGTTGTATTGGATCATTGAACACATGCGCACCCATGGCACATACTTCAGAAAGGCGACTCTAGCGACGATGAAGTGGGAGTTGTGGCACGATCGCATGCGAGAGGGAAGAACGGAGATGGCCCCGGACGTGAAGAGCTCGACTCCAGCAACCTGATCGGCGCAGATGAGGCGAGTAGGAAATTCAGGAAGGCTGAGAGGAGTGGGTCCATGTTCCTTCATGTGCTTATGTCGCTAATAATGCTTGTCTGCTTGTCGTGGGTCAAGAGCACCATCGTCCTCGGATACAATACACATATCCACCATCGCCTACGTCCAACACATCCCCTAGCTCCTCGCCCGTATCTACCCCTGCAATTCCGCTGTCGCAGCGTCTGCGCCTTCTGCAGACAGAACTCGCAGCACTAGAGACGGAACTTGCGGATCCGTCAAACCCACTCTTGCACAAGGAGAAGGAGAGTGGGCATGTCGACCCTGGCGAGTTGATCCGAGGGATGGTTGACGTTAAAGGTCGTCTGGATAAGATAAGCAAGGTCAAGGAAGGTAGGGGAAAGCTGGTGAGTGTAGTGCTCGGCGAGGAAGGCGGGCAATATGGCTCTGGGGAGGATGGTAAGGACAAGGAGAAGATCGGACGAGGTAAATTCGAAGGCAAGAACGGTGCAGCAGATGATAAGACGAAAACACCGGATGTGAAAGACATCGCGGAGATGGACAGGCGCGTGGGGGAGCTCGAGAAGGTTGTCGGTTCCTCTAGCACAGCCTTAGATGAAGTGAGTCGACTGAACACTCCAGACTTAATCGCTGATTCAATCGTTCTGCAGTTATCTCCGCTACCGCCACCATTGTTACCTATGTTGACCCGGCTCAACACACAATTGACCCTTCTGACACAACCACGCCATGTCGACTCGATCTCCCGCCGTCTCAAACTTCTCCTATCCGACCTCGAGCGCGTCTCGAACGCAAATGCACAGCAGCATACCTCGCAGCGCCGTCAGTCCTCCCTCCACCCACCAGGTTCTGCCTCTGCATCCACCTCCGCGCATCCCGCACCGTCTATATCCACATCCACCGCGCCAACGAACATGCAGGACCAGCTCGCACCTGTGCTCTCCCGGCTCGCCCCGCTGCTCCCACACATCCCGCATATCCTTACGCGCCTGCGGACGCTTTCTGCACTACACACGTCCGCCGCGTCGTTCCAGAGCACTCTGGAGGGGCTCGAGGAGGAGCAGCGCAAAGTACGCGCGGCACTCGAGGAGCTCGGGCGCGCAGTGGAAGGCGTGGAGAGCAGTCTGAAGGATAACGAGACAGTCGTGAAGCGGAACGTCCAGGAGCTCGAGGAGCGGGTCGACGGCATGGGGAGGAGGGTGGACGGGCTGCAGATTGAGACTCACTGATACTCCGGCCTCTTTCCCTCATTGCAAGATATGTGGTGCATTTCTCCGGGTCGGGTGTCTCAAGTTGGGCGTAGTATGTTTGTTTGCAACTGCGTGATACTGTGTACATAAGTAGAGTGACACTGCAGCTATTGTGGTGGCGGGGTCAATCCCGCCATCACGTGCCAGATCAAGATTGAATCCGATGTGACCGGAACTCCAGATTTGGTAAGTGTGTAAGAACGATCGTGCAACCTCTCAACTGCCTTTTGCTCGAGACATCGATGATCTTCGCACAAAGAGTAAGTCCGAGAGCAAAGATTAAATATGACTGCCTTCATAGAGCCCATGTTATGTTGTCTGACAATCATTATCGTAACAGCCGTGAGATACAGTGATTACACTGCACTGTCCATTTCACAACGCTGTGTGCATGTCGTGCACAGCATCCGATGCATGTCCACACCGCACGCATTGTGAAACCACCGCAAATTTGGTAACACAGCGACTTGACATGTCCGTGCTACCAGCCGAACAGTGCTGTGTAATGCTTTTCTAGAAGAAAGACCCTGCCACTCGGAGCAGAGCTTGAAATTGTACCGAGACTACGGACTGAGCGGAGCATTACAGACCTCAACCGGTACTCGGAATTGTGGTCCTTCAAGTTCTCCGCCGTGCTCAATAGTACACCGGAAGTTACACGCTCTCACACCGTGTGCACAATGTAGCATTGTACCCACACATTGACCCAAGAATTACCGAGAACACAGTACTATCATTAAGCGAAGGCACTACACCATGACATCACGGTCTAAAGCACTGACGCTAGAGATACCGGGTCTTCACGACGCTCGTCTTATAGGTATGCATTAGTCTCTTTTCGACATCCTGTCGGGTTGTGCTGTGCTGAGAACCAAAGGATCTTGTTAACGGTATCCGGAAGGAACAAGAGTTGTGGGGCTGCATACCGTATTCACCGGAACGGACATCAGGCAAGCTGGCGTCCCGCGAGTCCCAAAGACGATAGTCAAAAGGCTTACGTCCTGAAATTGTAGAAGGAGTCCATACCACCGGGAGGCTCGACCCGAGTATAGCTTGCCGTTTATTGTAATGTGTGGCCTAGGTGCGGTGCAGGTGACAGCTCGGACGTGCCACACCGACATCCACTACCGACTCCCACAAGGCAAAGAGCCTATTGAGTTTCGGGCGGATTCGCCGCTCGAGTCATTGGCCTACGTCAACAAGTGCCACTGTCATAGGACTATTGAAGTCCGGATAGGAATTGCCATTCGCGGGGAAGCTGCTAGCACATTGAAGGATAATTTGCGGCGAGCCACATCGGCCGAAAAATTCAAGCTTGATATTTAACGAGCGCACAACGGAGAGGCATACATGTTGCAAGTAGATGGGAGGATGTAGGCTTCGGTTGCCGACGGCAGACTGACTCGCCAAGATCACGTGGGCCGGCGCGAGTCAGACGCTCCTGGCGCGCTGCCAGAGCTCTCTCTGCCCGTCGACGTTCTTGCTTGACTCATTTCCAGGGAACATCACCAGCCTATGTCAGCAGCCCGAGGAACAATGCGATACTTGCCGTCACTTGCCTATATGCGGTCGTGTGGCAAGAGGAATCACCAGTATGCTAGTACGCAGTCACTGCGCGGTTTTTGGGCCCATATCTGTCTGAAACGTCGCTAACGACCGGAGCTGTCGCATACCCAGTAAGCTCCGGTATCCAATGGCCACGTATTCGTGCTGGAGGTTATGCCGTGCCGCCCGTCCGACGACCTGGGACATATTCTGTCCCTCGGTGGACGTTGTCTCCGATTACCGCTGTGGACGACAGGTGGTGTTAGGTCTCTCCTGCCTCCGGAACCGCTACTTGGTGGGAGAGCAGGTCCAGGTGCTGTGCACTTATTGACTCACGGAGCTGTTGGCCATATGTATAGTGGAATTGATGGCTCGTGCCTATATAATATTCCTCCCTCGTTGAGATGCTTCTGTATCCTGTCCACTCCTCACAATTCCACACCCACGCATATCCTGACATGACTGATTCATACCGTATGTTGTTCTATTGTCCCTTCTCGTATTTATCACACTGACTGTGTCCGTTTCAGACTGGCGCATGCAGCTCAACAATTACCTCCAGAGCAATGGAGGTTCACGACTCTTGACATGGGACGTTCAACAGTCCGGTCCCTTGCACCAGCCCTCGTGGACAGCCGTAGCGTACAGTAAGTGCCAGTTTTGCTATCGAGACCACAGAACAGTAGCTAACGATGCACTTCTCAATTCTAGTTCGTGGCGTTGAGTATGCGCGGTGTACGGGCTCGAGTCAGAACGGGGTCAAGGAGGAGGCGGCCCGGCGAACACTAGCCGCACTACAAGCTGATCGAGCAGCTAGAGGCTATTCATGACATTCATGATCGTTCATCTGCGTACGTGTCAATCGTGCCCGGCCAAGGATGACCTGCTGACTCATGCTATAGATCTCACTTATCATTTTTGTTATCATTGCTGTCGAATTCCTCGTCCCTTGCTATGCTATCGCACCTGTAATATGTATTCGTATTTAGTACCGTCCGTCATGTTGTGACTCGGTCCCGGACCTTAGGCTTTAGATGTAGTATGCGCTGATATGGACACTCCGCGTGTATAGCAGCAGCCTGGGCCGCCCGATAATATATCTCATTTCTTGATACCGCAGATTGGCGCCAATCTTTGAATCTTGGCAAGGTTCACGAGATGAATGACATACCGATTTCTGCGCAGAACGATCATGAGAACCATCGCAGACATGATCGAGTGGCGACATGCCAATCTCAAACAACTGACCGGAGACTGCGCATGCATTACACCTTCGAAACGTCCTCCCGTCGCCCGTCGAATGAGACCCATTCATTGATCTGCGCTACCGTGTCAGTCGGTGGTAAGGCATAAATACACGTACTAAAGACATTTACTAGTTGTTTGCATCAAGCCGATGTCAAGACTGTCCACCTGCGCCACCATCGCATGCGGCTGCGCTGTTGCTGTCGTAGCTGGACACAGCGCGCATCGCTCTGTGTGTTGGTAGTGTGGAGTTCACCGAGCTCACCGAGTCTCATGTGGATACTTGCTACGCATCTGCGCGTAAATGGTGTCCCCAGCGCGTCCGCAGCACCCGCGTCCTGCTGCGCGGCCCAGGGCCGCTTGCTCATCGACACTGGCAGCAGGTTCGACAGGCGCACGTTCACGTGTAGCTGTCGGTGCGCACCAGGAGCGCGCGATATGACGTCATCGGAACGGACGGACGAGGGCAGTGAAGATGACTGCATGGGCGGCGAAGGAGGCGTTACTGGTTGCT